GTCAAGTCGTGCTCTTCCCCCTAGTTCTCCGCTGCTTGCTCATCCGCCATTGCCCATAGGAACCAATTCTTTCACCTATTTCGTAGCGACATGTCGGACTGCAATAGACGTCTCTTTGCCTCCGCCCGTAACGAGTGTAAGCGTGTCCTCAACGATGCTAAGTCACTATTTGCTGCTCTGATGAAGGAGCGTATTGCATTTCTCAAATTTGGCTCCAAAAATTATTGGCGTCTCTGCAGGAGCGTATTGAACAATTGCAAACCCTCTATACCTCCTTTGTTCAATCATTTCGAAGTCCCGACCTCCTCTGCCGACAGGGCTGAATGCTTTGCTCAGAAATTTTCATTCAACTCAACGCTCGACTCTTCCGGTGTACCCATACCCGACTTCCCTCTTAGAACTGAGGCCCTATTGAGTGGGTTACACATAACCCTGTCTTTGGTATTGGGCATTATCTCCAATTTAGACCCAAACAAGGCTAGTGGTGGAGATGGTATACCAGCCATTGTCTTGAACTAAACTCTCTAAACTATATAACTACTGCTCCAAGGAATCTTGTTTTCCTGACTGCTGGAAGTCCTCTTTGATTGTTCCTGTCTTCAAGAACTCTGGCGACCCCTCTGATCCTTCTAATTACCATCCTATCAGTCTCCTATCCCTCTTCGGAAAAGTCTTCGAAGCCCTAATCAATGCCGAAGTGGTTAACCACCTTACATCCCATGATCTCAGACAAGCAATATGGCTCCCGCTTTGCCCGATCTACAGCTGATGAGATTACGGCCATCACTGAAATTGTCTATCAAGCTCTTCAAAATAACGGGGAAGCTCGTGCCGTTGCCCTAGACATCTCCAAAACGTTTGATAGGGTTTGGCATGCCGGCCTTCTTCGCAAGCGCCAGGGTTATGGCATTACGGGACGATTGTTTGAACTAATACAAACATTCCTATCAAACCGTGAATTAAAGGTCGTTCTCAACGGATTCTCCTCCAGTTCCTATCCCACGAACGCAGGTGTTCCTCAAGGCTCCATCCTAGGCCCCACTCTATACCTTATCTACATAAATGACCTTCCTGACGCCATAAATTCCCAAGTTGGCATCTACGCGGTTGACACCACAATTTACTCCTGCCTCACAAACAAATCTAGTGTCGCTGACAAAACTAACCTGGCCGTGCGTCTCGAAAAGGACCTCCAATCGGTTGTGAACTGGGGCAGGAATTGGCTGGTCAACTTTAATGCTTCAAAAACAAAACTGCTCTCTATTAATCAGCACAGATATCCTTCCCTGCCCTCGATTAGAATGTCTGACGCTCAAATTCTTGAGAGCTCCTCTCTGCGGCTGCTCGGTCTCACGTTGACAGCTGACCTGAGATGGAACAAATACATTGAGTCAATAGCTTCGTCCACCAAGTTGGCTCCCTGTGCCGCGCCAGGAAATTTTTCTCCCCGGAATCGATCCTCCAGATCTACAAATCAACAATTTGCCCTTGCATGGAGTATTGCTGCCATATATGGTCTGGAACCCCTTCTGTTTGCCTCGGGGTTCATGATAGGCTCCAGAGGCAGATATGCAATATAATTGGCCCTGATCTGGCATCTCGTCTACAGTCACTTTCTCACAGATGCGCTGTCGCCTCTCTCTGTCTGTTTTACAAATACTTTCATGACAATTGCTCCGAGGAGCTGCATTCGCTGGTTCCCAGGTTTCATGAGTCCAAGCGCCCTACGAGGCTGGCATCCCGCTCTCACCCTTTCACTATCGAAACTCCTAAATGTATCCATCTCTTCTACTCCAATAGCTTCATATCCAGCACCTCTCGCCTATGGAACTCCCTTCCCTATTCCAGCTTCCCTGAGAGCTATAATCTCCAACTATTCAAATGTAATGTCAATCGACATCTTCAGTTGCCTTGATCTATCCACTATCCTTCTCCTCATCCTTTCCTCTATCACTCCTATCTGATCTTGCTCCAAATCTTCTGTAACCCCTTGCGTCCTAGTGGCTTCCCGCCTTGCTTGGGGTGAAACGGTTATATATATATATATATATATATATATATATATATATATATATACATACATACATACACACACACACACATATATATATTTCTTTTAGGTTTTTATACAATTTCTCATGTGATCTAATAGTTTTTCTTTTCAGCTATACATTTAGCCACTTTCAAGATTGAAATATTTTAACTGTTAAATAAGAAATAGTTTGTTGCATGTGTGTATTTATATAATGTTTTCATTTTTCAAAACACAGTCAAGATATTGTGTCCGTATTCATAGTTGCTATTATTGAGTGTTGTTTTTTTTTCTGTCGCATTCAATGAAATATGCATGAAAGAAGGATTGCTACCTAAAATATATATATATATATATATATATATATATATATAAAAGTGAACATTAAAGAACACTTAGAGGCGACAGTCTGTTTCATGCTAGACGCAATCGTATAGGCCAATATATATATATATATATATATATATATATATATATCCTGACGATTGCGTCAGACCATATATATATATATATATATATATATATATATATATATATATATATATATATATATATATAGTTTATGAAAAACCAGGTAATCCGTATGGGTAAACCTAAGGAGGATAAAATCTAGAGAGCTCAATGTAAATTCAGAGTAAATAATTAAGTTAACCGTTTGAATGTGTCAATATCTGCTAACTCAATCATGTCTTCTCTCTCCCCCTCACTTCCTCACTTCGTTAATTTACATATATTTAAAAAAAATGTGTAAATTTTCTTTTCATTTTTTGTTTGGAAGTAAAGTCTGATGATCTGCAGTCCTTTTAAAAGGGCTGTGGTGAAATAATTTATTACATGGAACCTTAAAAGTGGTCTGTTTTTATTTTTTTAAAAATATATATATATTTACACACGCTCTATGTGATGTTGAGCACTTTATCCCATAAATATAGCACACCTTAAGACAATATTTCTTCATATATATATATATATATATATATATATATATATATATATATATATATATATATAGGATAGGCAAAAGTCGCTTAATGCAGATAATTTATTAAAAGGATAACTACTGCATACATATTGATTCCAAATGTCCCCAGAGAAAAAATCCAAGGGCGTGAGGTCGGATATATATATATATATATATATATATATATATATATATATATATATATATATATATATATATATTTCTTTTTTTTTATGTCTTTTCCGTTTAATAATCTTTCTTTCAGTTTTTTCTTGCTTACATACCACCTTCATGACACCAGCACCATAAAAAAAATCACCTGATTCAATTCTTCCGAAATAAGAAAAATCCTAATCAACCATAACAAAATCCTCTCAAAAAAAAACAGTGGCGAAAAACGCTTGGAAATTCTTGAAGCCATCACAATTAAAACCAAAAACCCAACATTAATAAAATAGGATTTAATACAGACAGTAACATCATAAACATATTTAATAACAAATCCTCCAAATAATAATTACCAATCCAGTCCTAATTGCTAATATACTAATCCAGCAACAATAACCCTGAATAACCCAAAATATTATCTATAAAAAAATAAAAATAAAAAAGGAACTTAATTCAAACGAAAACATAGAGACGACAACCGAAAGCGCTCGGCAAAAAAACAAGGACTACTATCTTTATGAACAACTTATATACTATGAAGAAACTTGCGAGTAAACAAACAAAAAAAAATGAAAGAATGATTATTGAACTGAAAAGTTCCATCGTCTTTAAAAATACATGCCTCAATAATGACATATATATATATATATATATATATATATATATATATATATATATATATATATATATATATATATATATATATAAGCATTTCATCCATGTAAAGCGGGTGTGCCACTAGTACGCAGGGGGTTACGGAAAGTGAAAGTGTGAGAAAAGACTGGGGGGGGGGGTGGATTGAGAAAAAGATTAAAGATGAACAGTGTTCAAGGCAATAGAAGATGCTATGAACCCGATCAAAATTAACATTCCCTTAATACGATTAGTACAAACAAAGCCGTCTAGGAAAAAAAAAAAAACAAGCGAAAAGGTTGCAGAAAATCAAGAGAAAAAAAGGAATATTAAATTAAAAATGAAGACATACATTGCATTAAAAAAAAAAAAACTGCATTCGTCCATTAGGACTGCAAGATTTTTTTGATTTTTTTTTTTTTTGGGGGGTAGCGAATTTTGACCAAAGTAGTGAACTCTAAGAAAGCCAATTTTCACGATATGCAGGATCAAGCATAAATACATTTACATAAATTTCAGCATATTTTCTACAAATTCTACATTTCGTGTTAGTTCCATTATGTGACAATGATACGATCTGGTTGTGAGGATTTCGTCCTGAGCTGCAATAATTAAACCTTCTTTCTCAGTTTTCATCCCGGTGCTCCTCAGAGCGTTAACAGTACAGAAAAAACCCAATATGTACTGACTTCCAATTTCTTCCTGTGTTGACTTCTAGAATCAATTTATAGCTACCCACGTTATTTTGTTGGTCGTTTCTGATTTGTACTTATACTAGTTGTTGACCTGCTGGAACTCAAGCCATTTGCAAAGTTCACTCTTTATTAATGTTCATACCCCATCATGTATACTTCTTTCGTGTCAGCTTATGATGCGTTTTATAGTTTCATTTCTTTCTCCAAAAAAGCAGATATTTGAGGGGAGGGTTCTATTTTTGCCTTTATATAATTGTAAGTCTAATGTGAGCGTTATTTGTTTATTTGTTTGCCTCAATTACTTTGTGAGTGTTCGCACCGGTAGTCATATCTAGTGGGGTTTTGTGTCGTTTAAATTGCGTGGAAAAACAGAAGGAAAATATACATTAGAGACGCTGTCTGGTTTTAGCGATAAAGAAAGAAAGAGAAAAAGGAGCAGAGAAAGAAAGTAAGAAAGAAAGAAAGAAGTATACGGAAACAACGTAATAAACAAATGAAACTGAACAAAAGTTTAAATAAAGAGGCAAAAAAGAAAGAAGTATAGGCAAACAAAGAAAATAATAATGAAATGGAGCTGAAAGAAAGAAAGAAAAAAGAAAGAAAGAAAGAAAGAAAGAAAGAAAAAAAAATGAAAGAAAGAAAGAAAGAATGAAAGAAAGACGTACACAGAAACAATGAAAGGTATAAAGAAATTGAGCTGAACAAAAAAGTCCAAAGAAAGAAAGAAAGAATGAATGAGAAAAAAGAAAGAAAGAAATTCAATGAACCAATGGAAGTAATAAAAGATGGAGCGTAAAGAAAAAGTGTAAAGAAAGAAAGAACGAACGAAAGAATGAATGAATGAAGTACACTGAAACAATGAAAGTTGTAAAGAAATAGAACTGAAAGAAAAAGGGTAAAGAAAGAAAGAAAGAAAGAAAGAAAGAAAGAAAGAAAAGAGGTACACAGAAACAATAAAAGTTATAAAGAAATAGTGCTGAAAGAAAGAAAGAAAGAAAGAAAGAAAGAAAGAAAGAAAGAAAGAAGTACACAGAAACAATGAAAGAAATACAAAAACGGAACTGAAAGAAAAAAGTGTAAAGTAAGAAAGTTAAGATGGAGGATGTGATAACGCTTTCATGCGTTTCTCGTCTGCTTTAGTGAAATTGAAAACCTTGTCAATTTTGAATCTTTTCACTTGTAGCCGCTTCTTCAAGTAGTGACCTGCATTCACACATGATTGCAATATTGTGATTTAGATGATATACTTAAATATTTACCGATCTAACAGGGGTATTTGTATGGGTATTTTATAGTCGTAGATCTCGCCATTACCTTATTAACTTCTTGAATTAAGAATAATGATTCAGCAGAAAATTCAAACGGGAAAAGGGTTTAGATCTTATTCAAGAGTCTTCACATTATTATTATTATTTTTATTTCCTTTGATTTCTGGTGTATAATCATTTCTTTCCGGGTCCTAACTAGAGACATAAAGTCAGAATTAACATCAGAACATTTTCTGAGAAAAAATAACTAAGATCAAACACATTTTACACATTTTTTTTGTATTTCTTTAAGGCATGGGCTGCCAGGAATCCCTTCAATGAGTCTATCGGAACCTTTTCCAGTTAATCCGAGGGCTCCAACTACAACTAGAACAGCTGATGTCTCATGTTCCAGAGTTTTTGGATTTCCATTTCAAGATCTTTGTATTTTGATAGTTTGTTGAAGATTAACAAAAAAAAAAAGGTTCATGCACCCTCTACAACTTGAAAAACAAATGTCCAAGGTCCAATGGAGATAACTAATCCCTTATTTATTAATTTTGTTTTATTTTAAATATTATCTACAAAGCGTGCAATTTTCAACAAACCCGTGGTATGGTTTCAGACTTTTTCCAAGAGTGATGCGCGCTGAAATATGACCTCAACGAACAAATTGAACACGGCCAGATTAAAACCCAGCACATGGTCAGAAAGCGAACGTTCTTTAGCATTCAGCCATTAGCCCAATTTTGGAGTAATGGTTATTTAACTTTTTTGTACTTACTTGATTCTGATGTCTCTAGTGGTTCCCATCATAAGCCGTTCATTTTTCTGACAATCATCGATTCTCGTTTCATACTATTGACGTTTTGACTCTTCTATCTCGAATTCTTCATTTCCTTTTGTAGGAATTCTAGTAGTTCTCTTTCTGTGTCTGCTATCAACCCTATATCATTTGTATATCTTATGTTGTTACTTCCAATACTGAATCCTGCTAGCATAATCGCATATAATATCTCCCTTATTTGCATATTCACATTTTTATCATCACCTTTTATGGTAGCTATTATTATGAATATTATTAGACCGACGAGTTAAAACGTTCGCATTCAAACCATGAGACCCGGGTTCGAATCTCATCATGGTTGATTTATCAGGAAGTAGACTTTCTGATGTTATTGGTGTGGCGGAGGTCGAACCCACGTGCGGCACCTTTGGAAAGTGCCTGAAAACCATATCACGGGTTGACCCAAGCCATGTGAGTGAGAATGGGTAGACGGAACTCTTGTGGGTCATCGATAGCTGTGCTAGCACAAAGTTACAATTTTAAATTTACAATTTCCTGTCCTTTGTAGATCTTAATAAAATACCTGTTCTTTGTAGCCCTTAAAAAATGTCCCTTTCTTACCTCACAATTGTTCCGCCATCTATTTACGGAAGCTGACTAGATGGATTCTGAGTTGTCTTCCTCAGTCCATCTTTCTTTCCATTTTGGTTATCAGTTTTTCCAGGCCCTCTTTCCTCATTACGCCCCAGAACGGTGGTTGACAAACACCTGTATGCGAATACAAATACTAACGAACCATTGTACGCAGTATTGATATAAAAATAGTAGTTATTTTTTATATATATTTTGAGTGCTGTTTTTCTCCAATTTTATTGTACGACTTCGCTCGACTTGGACCAGCCCACCAAGAAAATATCTGCGACGAATCGATCTTGGGCTCCTTATAATCAAATCAGTCACAGCGTGGGGTAAGGCAGGTCAGGATCGAAGAGATCACTCCATTGATCAAACCAGGATCCACCTCGGGCTGACCATGACGAAAGGTTACATCTGTTGCCGTTTGTTGTGAGCCAGGATCGAGCCTAAAGTGTTAGACTTTTGTCCTTTTCTTAACTCTCCTAGACCTTGTTCCGCCATTCATTTACCGAAGCTGACTAGATGGGTCCTGGCCATCTTGCCTTCCATTTTGATTTTCAATTTTTCTAAGCCTTCTTTTCTCATTACGCCCTTGAAATTACAACTCTCTCTCTCTTCTAGATGTTCAGTGTCCATTTTCCATAAAACTTCGCCATTACTCACATGGTCAACCCATAATATTCTCTGCATCCTTCTGTAGAACCACATTTATATTGCTTCAAGTTTCTTCTTCATTTTTGAGGAGAACTGATATTATATAAGAGCTCAGTACTCTTTTCTTTGTTTCTAACGATTGTTTTCTGTTTCTTAATACTTTGCTTAGCTTTTGGAAGGCATCTTTCGCTATCCTAATTCACCATATGATTTGAGTGTCGTAATTTCCGTCCTCTGTTAAAACACTTCCCAGATTTTTAAATTGTTGTACATATAGTTGTCCGAAATATACTCGGTAAATATTTGCAATATAAGTCAGTCATTCGTGTGCCATGCGTGATACACGCACCGGCGATGATGTATCTTTTGATACATGACTGACGAGGCAGTTTTTTCCCCGCAGTAGGTTACCATTTCTTTCTGTGGTAAACCAGATACCATCCAAAGCTACAGAACCCGGTCTGTCCTGCTATTTGCCCATAGCTGGGGATGGGGGGGAGAAGACGAGGATTCATACCTTTTTCAAGTATATTAGCACGTAAGTGAATGTAATGAATTCGACTGGAATTCGAACTCGGCTCTCCGCTTCCTCAATCCAAGCCGCTATCCATTAAAACCTAGAAAAATAAACTGCCGGTTAGAAACACCTAAAGGAAAGTCTGAGATATGATATTTTTATTTATTTATTCCTTTTTTTTTACTTGTGTTTTGAAGATGGCGACATTTGTAGGTTGATGGCGAATAGTACAATGGAATGTATTGTATGTGAGAGAGCTGAGCTAAAGACTGGAGTACGTTGAGTGATTTATGCTTGTTGCTTTACAAATCGGAACAAATGGCGTTAGATTTGTTCACACAAGTAGACATAAAGTTTATATAGAATGATCGCTCTAAATACAATACTACCCTATCTGTCTATCGGTTGCCTTTTCTTCGTTTTTTTTTTCTCCTCTGCCTACTCCCAAACAGCCTGTCTGTCCACCATCTTGTTTTTGGCTATCATAAATTTTACAAGGCATATCGCAATAAAAATGTTTGGAAGGAAAGCTGAACTGTAACACGAACGGCTATTTAAAAAAAAAAAAAAAAGATGTTTGAACAAAATATAACAATTTTTAAAAAGTCATGTAGGTATATTTATTAACCTAGATAGATAGAGAGTATACAGATATAAAATGAATTCAGTTGATAAGCAAAAATAGAAATGAGTATAACATGTGTCTTTTCAACTGACTTATTCAATCTATACAGCAGGGCGATTCTGAGAGAATTACAAGTCTGACGTGGATTCATTATTATCGGCCACAATCTTAACAGCATAAAATATGCATCTGTCTATATTTCTGAGATGAGATATTATGTACATTATTTACATTATTCGGATTATTGTCCTCAACTTTGTCGCCATATTTATTGTTGTGGATTCCGGGATGAAATCCGGTCTCAAATGAATGACAAACGCAGGAATGAAATATAGCAAATAAATGTATTGACGTAATAATACAATTGGTAATACGGTTAGTAGATCCAGAAATCTGTATCACCCCCGGGTATTCACCGGCAGCAGTACAAGTACACACTGGCGAGTCCACTTGTATAAAAAGGGGTGGACTCCTTAACATTTATTATAACGTTTCGGCCGTTGTACGCTCCGGCCTTCTTCAGATGGTTGGAATGTCGAACTTAACCCTTTATTTCGCTCACTGGGGCAGACTGTTCTAGTTCCACGTGCCATGTATTTAATGGATGTCAGTTATCAGTTATCTGTTAATTTTCCTCTGAAAGTTCTCCACTGCCTTAAGCGGGTATTGAACTCACACTCTTTGGGTCCTGTCACTGGATCTAACCTCAAGGACACATGGCACAGTGGATAAAGGCGTTGGTTAGATCCAGTGACAAGACCCAAAGAGTGTGAGTTCAATACCCTGTTAAGGCAGTGGAGAACTTGGAGAGGGGAATTAACAGGAGATAACTGATAACTGACATCCATCAAACATGGCACGTGGAACTAGAACAGTCTACCTCAGCGAGCGAAATAAAGGGTTCAGTTCGACATTCCAACCACCTGAAGAAGGCCGGAGCATACAACGGCCGAAATGTTGTAATAAATATGGCGACAAAGATGAGGACAATAGTCCGAATAATGTAAATAATGTATGAAATATGCAGATAACAGAATGTTGGTAGCAGACACAGAAAGAAAACTGCAAAAACTCCTGCAGAAGCTAGTGAAGGAAATGAAAAAGAAAGTATTAAATTTCAACTGCAAGAAGACAGAATGCATGGTTGTTAGCAAAAGGGACAGCCCAAAATGCAAATTACAAATTGGAGATGCCAAAATCAGACAATTACAAAAATTTACATATCTGAGAAATATTTTAACACAGGAAAGAAAGTGTGACACTGAAATCCGAAGGCATGTTGAGATAGCCAAAAATGCATTCGAAAAGCTAAGCAGAGTATCAAGAAAGAGAAAAATTTCGTTAGAAACAAAAAAAAATGAGTACTGAACTATTACGTCATATATGGCCGTGAATGCTGGACAATCTCCTCACAGATGAAGAAGAGACTTGAAGCAACAGAAATGTGGTTCTACGGAAGGCTACTGAGGATACCATGAACCAAACACGTGAGCAACGATCAAGTTTTAGAGAAAATGGAAGCAAAAAGGATACATCATGAAGAAACAGTTGAAATTTTAAAGTCACATAATGAGAAAAGATGGCTTGGTAAATCT